GAGAGAGAGAGAGAGAGAGAGAGAGAGAGAGAGAGAGAGAGAGAGAATGAGAACCAATCAATCAATTCCATTTTTGGTTTTGATTGAACTTTAATGGTAGTTAATATATTTCTTTTCTTTTTTGAAAATTTTATTGATTTTTGAAAACAAACATAAACAAACAAAACATAAAACATAAAAACATAAAACATCTTTTTTGAAAGCAGCATAGTCCGGGGTTACATCTCTTTGTACAGACACAAATTCAAGTTCACGCTCATTTTTATATTCCATTCCATATCTTATTACCATTCTACATTTTCTATATAGCTTCTCCCCTCTTTTAACTTTCTTAATTTTATTTTTTTTATTTATTTCATTTCAATTCAGATCATTATACTTATATTCTTTGTCTGTCCTGTTTCAGCTGTCTATTATCTTTTCTCATTAAACAAAATTTCTCCTGTAATCACTGATTGGAGTATGATGCCTTTATATCTTTCCCCTAAAATTATAACACTTAATATAATACATAACTTCCATTCGGATTCTGTTTGGTACTTTCTAAAACTACACACTGTATTTTAAAAAAAGAAAAAATTATAAATGTACAATATAATTAAAACAATCCATACCAATCCAATTCTATCATTAATATTAATATTCATTTAAATCTTAACATTTTACACATTACTTTTCAGATAAATATCATACTTCTATGGGAACACTTATAAACTTTCCAAAGTTAATTCCCCCCCCACTTCACTTATATTTTATAAAACATTGAGTAATTTCCCGTTCCTTCCTAATTCAATTCTCTCATTTATTTTGTTTCATTTATTTTGTTCACAAAAGTTTCACTAAATTACACTGACTATTTTATCCCTCTTTTTAATCATATGTTGTTTCCAATTTTCTAACATTATTTCTATTACAAATATAACAATACCATCTTATGTACCTTCACAGAAGCCCTTTTAGTTAGATTTTCACCCATTATCTCTGAATAGGTCCTGTTTCTTTACATCTTGCTCCAAGCCTTTGTAACTTCTCTTCCTTTCCTTCTTCCCTTTCTTCTTCTCTCTCCCATTTTTACCCCGTCTCTCCACCTCCATTGCCCTCTTCTGTATTCCCCTTTTCTGTTGCTTTGCAACATTATATCCACTTTTCAAATTATTTTTCCCTTTTTTGGTTGTTTTTTTAAGTCTTAAATTCTCCATTCTCTTTCCCCCTTTCCCCTTTCTTCCCCAGATAGAGTTACTTGTTCATTAAAGATGGCTTCTTCTTTGTCCCAATATTCTTGTTGCGCAGTTTTTTCTTGTTTCTCGTAGCTACAAATCGCCATTTCTAAAAATTGAAAAATGGAGCCAAAGGAGCCCTTCCCTTCTTGTATCTCTTCTTCATATTTTTTAAATTCCATTTTCAGTTCATCCAGAGATAGGGCCATTGTAAAAAAGTTTAAACAACCACCCAATTGTTTTTAGTCATTCAAATATAATATCCAAAGGTCCCAAAGTCACCAAGTAATCCAAATACACACAAGCTGCTTCTTTTTACACTTTCTTCTTTTTTCACTTTCTCTTCCTGGGGTTACTATTTGGTTACAAAGTTCCAGTTAAAATGTATCTTTTAGAAGTCTTATTGAGATTTTACATTAAATTCTTTTGAAATCCAGGCAGTCTCTTCCTTCCAAATCCTGCCCTTATTCTTTTCCTCTCCCTTCCTACTTATAGACAAAAAGGATTTTTTAATGTCCAGAAATCTTTATTGTCCCTTTGGCATTTAATTATATTATATTTTTAATTATATTTTAATTATTGGTGCCTAAGCAGATTTTTCCGATTTCTTATTCAGCTAATGGTAGTTAATATATTTCTGACAAGTCATCTTGGGCAGGAGTAGTTATTGAGTGGTATATATTTTCAAAGCTGACCCAAATCTTTTATATGTAATTAAAATAAATTTGAAGATTATTTATATCAATAAAGATATACTAAAATGTTCAATATAGTTTCAATTACATTTTTGTATGCTTTTAAATAACTGCATGTGACAGGTCAGAAGATGGAGTTACGGTTATTACTGTACTCCTGTGTGTAAAGTCTTTTAACCAGAAGATTTTTTAAAAAAATTCAACTGAAAGAGTCCCTAAACATATAATCATAAAAAGGTTTGATAGAAAGTGGTTCAATAAAAAGAATGTATTGTAAGGTCATGATTTGTGATAGTTCAATTCCTTAGCATAGAAATTCATATTCAGATATTATTCAATGACTAACTGGGGAAATGGAAAACACCATTAAAGAAAAAGTCAAGCTCTCGAGAAATTTACTTACTGCTGCACGACGGACATAAACAGGATGTGAAAGATGTACATTATTCAACAGGAACAAAATTGAATCCAATGTATAATACTCCCTTGGCTGGCCTTCTTTTCCTGTCCTGCACAGAGTAAAATAAAAATTCGTTTATAAAACTGCTATAAAAGGAACATATACCATCTATGTTTATGACCATAAAAAGCAAGAAATATGAACTAATAAATGACTATCACTACCAGTCCATATTTTGTTTTTTCAGTGCAAAAATGAAGAATAATCCTTATGATTTCACTCAAAGGATAATTATATTTTCTTGCAATTTCTCTTTTTTCAACAAACACAAGAACTCTTCCAACTTTCATTCAATGAGACAATGTCCTTAGAAATTCCTCTTCTTTATTGGATAAAATGGCTAATTACAGTTCAAATATCTGGTGGTTTGCAACCCTTCAATTTGGGAGCCAAAGCTGGATTTCTTGAAGCAATGTATGCTTGTGTCCACTTTAAATATCAATAAAATCTAAATCAGACCTCAATTATTATTATTTGCCTACTGCCTTGCAGTCTAGGCAGCTCAAGATTACTATTTTTGTGGCAAGCTGCATGCCTTCATTGTTACTATATTGCAGAATACTTACATTATCATATCCCTAGCAACCTGCTGCATTAAAATATTATTCCCAATTGGATTTGAAAAATGTCCCTGAAAAAATAGCTTCAAAAATTATCACTTATACAGCTAAGTAATAAAACAGATTAAACACAATTAATATAATGAGAGCAGGTATCTATAAATATTGACTAGATCTGTGCCTTGATGAGACAATTCTCCACAAAGTTGTTTAGGAACTCAAAAACCTATTGTTCAAATGAATTTGACTGGCAATCTACATATTAGATATGGATTACGAATAAAAATCTATTTTCTTCTCTGGACATAATGAATTACATACTATTTGACACGTGACAATTGATGCCAGCACACAAAACTCCTAATCAAAGTGACATTAGCACTTTTTAAAAGCAAAAGTATATACTATAATAATCTTATAAATCTTGACATACAAGTAACATTCTGCACTCTGGACTGTCTGTCACAGCCTGTCAGACACTGGATACCTTTTTCCATAAACTACGTTACTCACAATCAGTGAAATATGATAAGGTTTAATGCAGGGTTTCCAATCACGATCAATAGTAACAGTAACAAGGATGTGTTCAAAGTCAGCGTTGAGAGCAATCGCCTCCCAATGCTGTTCTTATACCCTCTCCCCAATTAACACATAACAGCACCACCCATTAATTACACCCATGCACCTCCACACCGTGCCTGAATGATTCAATCTCTCCCCCTTCCATCCCAGACTCGTATCCACTTTCTCCAATAAAGGTTAACAAAGCATAAGTGCTCCCTGGAACCGCCCTGCAGCGGCTGATGCAATCGCTAATCACCGCCCCGCCCAACAGCTGACTACAGTCTTGAATTGCCGATAACCGACATGGGAAGCAAACCGAATTGTCTCTAAACCGCTGCCAAGATGCCGGCTCCAATCCACATGGCAGGACGGAGCTGAATACGTCACACTGTCAGCTGGAATGGAGCGCTGTCACTAACAGCCATTGAATCGTTGTCAGCCACTGAAGCGCCATCACTAACAGCCATTAAATCATTGTCAGGACATTCCGGTAAAACCGGAACAGACCTGACACTATCTATTGTTTTAATGATAGATTTATTTATTAACTTTAGCTACACTTTCCAATTGAATCTTTCATTATTTGTTTTTGTAGACTTCTTTCATTTTTTACTTGGAACTTCCTATGGAAAAACACATACATTTTACAAACAATAAATAAACTAATGTTTCAGCTATCCTTTTAAAATAGAACTAGGTTATTGAGATAACAGATAACAATATTCAAAGTCTTACTGATTGGCTACTACCTGGTTCATTCTCATGAAACAAACCCAGGAAACCAAACAAAACCCTGGTTCTCATCCAGCTTCATCTATAAAGTTTCCAGAATAACTCTGGGCTTTAATCTATCTTATGGGTTTTTTATGTGGGGTAACACTGAAGATGGAAATGCTATGATATTGCAAATGAAAGGAATGATGAGATACATCTTAGAAAGATTCCCCACAAAATGCTGAAGTATTTTATAAATACCTTATGCTGGATATGATTACAAAAATATTTATAAATTGAGCAACAGAAGGATATGTTGATTTGTCAATATATCAGTATCTGATTGAAATAGTGTTTCTATTTAGGTCACAATTGCTTATTTTCAGAATTACAGTAACAGCTGACATTAAAAACAAAGGGGAAAGTTTTATTTTGACATTTTCGTAGGAATTAAGTAGTGAAATATTTCTAATATAGCATCTGAATACTTCTCTTGCAACTGATGTGGATATTTGAAGAAATATCATAGTAGATGAGAAAGAAGAGAGAAGAGAAGGGTTTTGGAAAAAAACATTTTTAAGATTACATTTTTTTAAAAAAAGCTAATTCAGTATGCATTTATACCAACTCAATTCTAATGATTTATTTGCATATCTTCATAATATATGACAACATATATTATTTTAAAATATGATTTTAGCTCGTTATTAATAAAGATAAATACATAACAGGTTTATTTTCCCAGAGAGAAGTGTTTTTACCACTGTATAGTGTACAATGATGAAATAGACCAATACAAACAATTCTTGCTGTTTATTTTTTCTGCATTACTGGCTCTTCTACACTTTCTCCCCAGAGAGATAATGATAACCAGAATTTTAGAAGTATAAATACAGTTCAGACAGGGATAAAAATGTGGAGGAAACATTGCAAGGAAAATTTACAGGTAATGGAATTTTTTTTATAGTTATCTACTAGAAAATGTTGACCAGCATAATAACATACGCACTGAGTGAATCTAAGCTGCATAAAATACTCTTCTAAAAGTTAAAAATACTGAAAATGTCACATTTTAAATTCATTGGGTAACATGAACTATAGTAGTGAATGTTACATGGTTGCAGTAAGGTTAATTAATTTACTTTTTTTTTGTTCTTTACACCCTAGTCAATTTTATAAGTGCAAAGTAAACAAATTTGCCATGATTCAACAAATCATTGGCAACTGACTGACATTAATGACAGGTGAAGAATCCTACAGTTACATGATTGCCATTTAGAACCTTCACTGGCAGCTTCCATCAAGCAAACTCAATGAGGAAGGCAGAAGAAATGTGCAAATGGAAATTATATGACATCATAACTTAGAACTGTACAGGCAGGGGTGGAATTCTACCGGTTCTGTCCACTTCTGTAGAACTGGTTGCTCTGAAAAGCAGCAAACAGAGAGCATACATAGAACTGCTTCTATGTCTGCTGCTGTTTGTGCCCACATGGGCTCTTACCTGACCTTTATTTCCTGCGTTTTCAACCGCAGCTGCTTTGCGTGACACAGCTGCGGTTGAAAAAGCAGGAAAAAAGTGCTCTTTCAACCACTGTGCACATGCGCAGTGCTACTCAGATGTCCAGGCAGCTAGACGACGATATACACACGCGCAGCAAAATGTAAAATCACCGAACTGGTAGTTACACCGGTCAGATCCCACCCGTGTACAGGATTTGCCTAACAATGGCAATTAGAACTTTTGCAACTCCTGTCAAAATCAGTGAAAATATGTGATGTTACACTTTATAGCCAAGTCACTTAGTAATGTAATTACCAGTCCCAATCACCACTGTTGACTGAGAAGTATCTGTAGAGCAGACAACCCGTGTTCCGGGTACATTAAACAATGCCATTGTGCTGGATCTAGGAGTTGTGCATTCTCTCTGATCCTTTCTGCCCCATGGAAAAGTGTTTGTCTGGAAATCCAGATGGCCTCAATCCTGTTCACCTTTTGCAAGGCTTTGAAGGATGTTTTTCCAGGCATTTGGCCCAGGCAGTTAGGTAAGCTCTGCTATTGGCATGGTATTTTTGATTGGAAGGTTGCTAAAAAAAAGAAAAAAACTTGGGTAACATTGGCTGTGTCCAGATGCTAGAATTGCTGTTTTAATCCTTGTATCCACTCAGAATCACTACTGTGTGATTGGCACCCCTATAAATTATTTAAATAAAGAATTAAAGAGCAAAGTCTTCTCTAGGGTCCTAAGCAAACAGGGACCTACTGGATTGTGGTGCAGAGAAAACACTGAATACATTTAAAGCAATCATCAGGAGATAGGAATATAAGGCTTTTTCAAAGTTAAGACAAGGCAAAAAAAAGTATCTCAATTCATTGTGGATACAGTTTAACCTGTCTTCCATCAGCTTCAAAACTCATACCATTTCAAGGGTTTTGGGTTTTTTTTGTTTTTTTTGGGGGGGGGGGTGTGTGTGTTACACTTATAGGATTGAAAAACATAACATTTTTGCCTTGGGTGTGCTGAGTTTGGATTTCTGAGTGTTATTTTAAGTTTACAAATGGATTTTGCCCATGCTTGGGTGATGGTGTGGCTCAATAAATTATAGATCTTTGAAAGAGTTGGTACTACCAAATAAGCTTTTAAGCTGCACTAAGATCCTTAGTTGTGAATTTTTATTCAGTAAGCAAATTTAAAAAAATAAAGAAGATATATTGAAATGTTCAGAAAATGTGAAAATCCTATTAAGAGCATTTTAAAAACTCCATTTAGATTATTAAAATCATTTCTTTAAAATTATCTTTTACCCCCACTGCTGGATGAACTAATTAAATTCAAGGGAAATTTGGAGCATTAGATTGTGTCCAGTCTGAATTTCATAATGAACATGGAACACTTGGTTAAAGGAAACAGCACAAAAGAATCTTTATTCCTTATTGCCATGTGTTTATTCATTTACTGTATATTTTTCAGAATAAGACATATATTACACAGGATGGAATTAAAAGATATATTACACTGGACAATTTTTAAAATCAAATTTTATTTTACTAAACCAGTTCCTCACTCATAGCCATTTCTTTATTTACTTGTTTCCCTTTGATTTCATTAGGGTATGTCTAAGCCAAGGAAGGAAAAACACTGCAAAAGAAATCAGGTGTTATTGTCCAAAATACCAATTTATTTGCTCATATTCAAATCACAACCATATGCCAATATTTTAAGAATACAATAGATTAAAAATATAAGCTATTTATAGTGTGGGTTTTTCACATGAAGCACCAATTCATAATTTATTAAATTGAAATGATTGAAACAACTTGTTAAGACCAAACCATCACTTATGAACAGCAATACTAAAGTTAAGCCATTTTTTAGAGGAGGGGGAGGAGGAAGGGAGAGGGGGAGAGGGAAAGACAGTATAACTTGTGATATAGGCTTATAAATACTGGTTATAAAATCAAATACTCATGTTAATGATTTATGATTAGTATAAGATGCCTCAGAGAATAAAATCTGCAGCATCAATAGGAAAAGTGGTTGAAGTCATTCTATTTCGAGATTTAGTAACATACATAAAAAAATAAATCTAAGAATACTTCAGCCTTCAGCCAAATTTTATCTGGCAAACCCATTTCTACATGAAATCCATACTAGCTCTAATCTAAACTCTTCACTAGCACAGAAACAAACTTAACAAACTTTTTCTTTATAGCTTTAGCATACATTAATGACTGCTTACCTATTTTACAGGGTGGGAAAAAACATGGTTTAACTATAAATTTATAAAAGATTTATTTGTCCTCAGAATTATAAGTAAGATTGTCTATAAACATCAGAATGTACATTCAAGTAAAACAGGGCAACTTCTGCTTAAAAGTTACTTTCTGGGTTACATCATTAACTCCTACTGTATCCAACACTGGATCACTTCAAGATTAACTTCAAGAAAAAAATTGTAGTTTTATTTTTGTATGTTTTTCAATTTTTACATTTGATTGTTTTAAAAAATGCAGACAGAATTTTCAAAATACAGTAATATGATTACATTTGCAATATAAGTACAGTTTCAAAATTTGAATGTATACTTGGTTGTGTCAACATTTTACTGACTAAACTTAATTTCTTCTGAATTTACCATGACTTAAATTCTATTCACTACAAACTCAGCTAAATAATAAAGCACAAGCAAAGAATTTCTCCTCAAAGCATTAAAATAGCTGCATATTTAGAAAGGTTTACAGCTTCAAAGACTGTCCCTGGTTGTCTGAGTGTCTATGTCCATATGTAGTTTACTCTTCACTGGCAGTCCTAGCAGAAATGTCCATACATGCATACACACAGACAAATGGAACAATGTTTGAAGCTGCCATATTAATAAAGTCCATGGTCTCTCATAAGCTATGCTTATTTTAATAAAAATATTTTTACTGGATGTTCTCAAGTTTGGCATTATCTAACATAGAAAAAAAATCAATGTGTTAAATTTCCTACCAAGTTATTTGACAGAGAAATAGAAAAAAAAATATTTAAAGTGAGTCTTGGAATGCAAACTTAAGAAAAATAGTACATAAAGGAAAAAAATTTTCTGAGAAAGAGTACTGAGTATCTAAAAATCTTTTAATCTTATATTTTAATTAATCTAAATAACCTACAGTTTTCAGAGCATACAGCCAAAAACAAATGTTCATTTCTTTCACAGTAAGCTCTGAGTTATTTTGTAAGTTCATCAACTGGAAAAGCTGCACATATGGCAAATATATAATCAATGATTGTAATAAAAATAAAATAAACACAAGTCCAATTATAATAAATGTATTACTTATTAGGAAAGCTCGCCAATTAATACATCTACAGTATTCTCTCCCATTATCTTAAGAACACAAGGGATTTAAAACGCATTGAACATGCTATAGATACCAAATAGTAAATACCAGAGTGAATCCTGAGTATATTTTAATTCAAAAATCTTGCTCAGTCATGAATGCATTAGGCTGCCTAAGTTCAAACTTCGTATCTCAGACTAACTGTTGCAAGGTTTTTATAAATGTTTCATTTTTTTTTAAAGAAAAGACAAGTAACAAATTTGTTCATATTTAGAATTGAACACATTTATATAAGGAACAGCAGCCATATTTTGGTCAACTTCACAAGAGACCAGAGATATAGGAAGTATTATTGTAACTGTATTACAAATGTAAAGGACTATGAGTGAACAGAAACTTCCTAGTGAGTTAACAGCAAAGTCAAGACTTGAATGTAAATCTCCTAAATGCAACATCTATTAGACAAGATAATGAGACTTTACATCTAGTTATCTAGAACAAAAATGACAGTGAAAAGGCAAGTTTGAACAAAATAACTGTAAAAACATAGTTTTTATAGAACTATCTAGAAAAATGTATCAAGTGCAGGTATTAAAGGAAAATAAACCAATTACAAGTACGTTGATGTAATTTTTCATATATATGTACAAATATATATTCAAGGAGATCTAAGGAACATAAAGCTCATAGACACCGCAAAAAAGTTATTTTAACACAAAAAAGGGTATTACTCACTGACTATATTTCTATAGAGAAGATATTCACTATATAAAAACATACTATTTGTTTAAAGTAAGAGAACTAAAATCAAGTTCAGTTTTTGTCACAGTTTCCTCAACTACTACTTTTATAGTTTTGCTATACAATTTTATAATATTGCTTCTAACTCCTGATAAGTAGTTATGTCAGAGAAACTAAACATCATGCTTATTCGCAGAATTCATGATCTAAAAAACAGAAAGTGTAGTTATCAAGCCCAAGAACACAGATCAAGCAATGCTGTGAAAAATATAACGAGTCACAAAGATAAGTTCATAAAAGGAAGGTATTTGAGAATACAGAACAAAATACAGTGTCAGTATGAGATACACACATTATAGCCCAGGAGTTCCCTGAAGTTATGTAAATCACAAACATGTATACTAATATGGAGATGCCTGGTTCATTCTATGTAAACTGAAGTCTTTGTAAAGTTTTAAGGCTTTGCCATGAATTCTTGAAAAATTCCTGTCTGAAGGTTTTTGATTCTTTCTGGATACCTTTGTATAACTCAATCTGTATTTTTCAACTTTGGGATTCATAATTTTACTTATAATATTCTACTTTCAACATTAAATCCCAAAAGAAATTGAAGGTCTAATAGAGGCAAGATATTAAATCCCCAGAGCTTACTGAAAGCAAACAAATCATGAAATAGATGCATGTGAAAGTTTGCAAAGTACTCAAATATACAACTGCTGCCCTTTTAAGCAAAAAATATGTAAATGATCATCTCTTTTAGAACTACTAGATTTTTCTTGAAAAAGATGGAAATTTCCAGAAATCATAACCCTGTTGAGATAAATCAATGAAAAATGTTTTTAAACGTTCTAAAAAGAAAAAAAAGTCTAATACCTTGCTCTTATATTCTACTGGTTGACTATCAGCAAGAGACAGATAAGCCTTAACTGAATCTAACAAACCTTTGCAAATTGTCACTAATGTTCAAATTATGAAAACAAAGAATAATGTCAAGTTTACTGGTAAATTACTTTTCTGTAATTGCCAGGAGAAAAGCTGTATTAAACCAAAGTGATGTTTCCTTCTACAGACAGAACAACATGAAGTTCCTAAAGGCCAGATGGTTCAGTCCTAAAAAGATGAATATAACATTCAGGTCACCTCAATTGTTTTTTATCCAGATCTGAAAAGTGGTATCCACATGGTGGTTTGTATTCCACCATGTAGTCTACTCTTTCAAAGGTTCCATAAAAGTAATGGGGGCTTTAAAAGAAGAACCAGACATGTTGTTTTTTCCTGGATCCTCTTCTATATTTTCAAGATGGGGTGGTGGAAAAGGGATAACTATTACTATCACAATACACACACACAGAGAAAGAAACCTACCTATTTTTCTTATCTTCATTTTTAAGTGCTTTGGTTTTATTGTATTGCAAACGGTTGCTGGGGTGCATCCAGTTTCGTTGTACTTGTACAATGACAATAAAGTTCTTCTAATTCTAAGAACCAAATTTACCCACTGTGGCAAGGGACATGTCCTTTCAAGCTTTTAACTCTTGCATCTTTACATTCTGCTAGGCACACAAAACTCCCAGATTATCAAGAATATGCAAACTTCTGCTCCAAGTTGACTAGATTTTACTTCCAAGTTGAGCCCAAGTTAGTGGGGGTGCTAACTTTATCTGTTCTCGTGTCTTTCCATGGACCCTACCCGTGTCTTTCCATCCTAACGCTCTGAACAACTTAACGCCAAGCAAATCACATTGTCTTCTAATCAGGCTTTACAAAGTGTCCCCCCCGCCCAACCTTGTCTTCCAAGCACTATGCACGAAGGTTGCTGCAACTCCACATCCCGTTTCGGGGGACTACTACTTCCTAGTTAACCTGGAGGGAAACAGGTGCGGCCACGACCGGCTTTAGAAAGAGACCACCATAAAGGCTATTGGACCCAAACCCCTCCTCCGACGTCCTGAGCCCGAGGTGGCACAGCATTAATCACGGCTGGGCAAACTAACCCACTCGGCGTCCCCGGACGGCTTAGAAGCAGCTCTCTATTCCCTCAAGGGGAAGGAAGCATCGGCTGAGCCAGGATAAAGCTTCTCGGTCGGATCCTGCAGGAGGACATCGCTGCACCCCAGCGTCCCCTTCCCATTCGGAGCCCATCCCCCCGCCCCCCCCCCCCCCCCCCCCCCACACACACCGGGCGAAGCTTCTGGCGGACTTACCCCCAGATGACATAGTTGGTCTTGACGTTCTTGGGCCAGGAGAACTCGCCGAAGATTACTTCGTCGCCTTTCACCACGATCTCCTTTTTCTGCGTGTTGTACTGGCGCAGCACGCTCAGGACGTCCGCCATCGCCTCAGCCTACTTCGCTCGCTGGCCTCGAGACCCCGGAGACCTGCCTGCTCCAAGTGACTTCCCTCGCGCCGCCTCCTGGTGCTGCACCTTCCCCTCCTCTCCGCTCTCTCGCCCCGACAGCCACTTCGCCTCCTGATTGTCAGGCAACGCAAACCGACCGTCCGACTAACCGAACGAACGACGGACCAACTACCCCAGCCGCCGCCGCCGCCACCACCACCACCACCACCGCCAATACCGCATGCGCAGAAGGAAGAATAGTCGGAAGGACCCTACCAGTCCGCCTACCTCTGCGCCTGCGCTCAGAAGGGAAGGGGGGGAAACCCAAAACCACACCTTGACCCCGCCCACGACTGGTTAGAAAACACCAAGAAACGGGAGAGCTGTCTCTTTCATCACTGCGTCCCGCCTCCCCTTCTGCTCCCTTCAACCGCTCACCGTCACTCAGCGTGATTGACGTGAGGAAGAGCCTGTCGCAACGCTCGAAGGGGAAGTCGCGTTTCAAAGGAAGGAAAAAACGAACAGGCAATGGAGTAGTTAGACCTTGGGTTGTTGAGGGCCCTTGGAAGAGAAGAAAACCTGTCTTCCGGAGGCGGAGCCTCGGGCGGCGGCTGTTCTTATTTGGCTGATGGCTTTGTGGGTGCTGCAGAGGCTTTGGGTGCTGAGGTTGGTTAATTGCGGGATGTGCGCGAAACGAAAAGCGGCTTGGCTTGATTCCAGGGGCTTGGCTTGCTGAGATGCTGTAAATTCTCCTTTGTTCTATTTTGCCAGTGAAGGCGCTTTGTAAAAGATTTAGCTGTATCTATTTGTGTAACATTCACCTTGGGTTACCCGAAGGTTTGTTCTTAGTCAGCTGGCATTTTATGGGTGTTTTATTCGTGAATAAATAAAACCTGGGCTGTATGCAGGTGAATATATTCGGCCAGGATTTAGTTTTGAACCTCGGGTATTTCCTGTCATGGACAGAAAACAAAAAGTCTTAGGCATCCAGTGCAGTTGCTCAACCACTGATATGCAGCTGTTTGGCCAGGCAGCTCCCGTTCCCAAGAACTGCTTAGCAATGATGGTTTGGGGGATGATCTTATTTTGAAATCCTTCCTACAAAGGTGGTTTTGAGCGGGGAAATTTACGTTAACTTACAGAATATCCTGGCTGAGGAGATGTAGTCAGATGCTTAGTTTCCTGGGCTTCACACTTTTATGTTTGAATCCTAAGATGCTCCGGAAGTGTGGCTTTCAGACTGGCTTTGGTGATTTTATAATCTATAGTATTTTATTTTACTTGAATTTATGGTTTAACCATTGTTCCTAGGGTTGTTGTTTTTTTTTTTTTTGGAGTCTGGTATGTCTCTTCTTTTTATCATAAAGTGGTTATTTGATATTCGACTTTTAGAGTTAGAACTGCCTACATGTTAAAGGGGCTTTGTCACTATTATGTACTGTACTGTAATCCAATTTAACTGATATTTCTTTAATTCTGTAGAATCCTTTGTTTTCAAGCTAGTCCTTGAATTCTTTGTTTTCCAGCTATAATATAGCTGGTCCTCAACTTAAAATCATCCACTTAGTGATGGTTTGAAGTGCCAATGGCATCAAAAGTGACTTATGATCCTTTCTCAGACTTATAACCATTGCATGGTCATGTGATCAAAATTTGGATGCTTGGCAGCAGGAATGTATTTATGATGATTGCAGTGTCCCAAGATTATGTGATCACTTTCTGTGACCACCTGACAAGCAAAGCCAGATTTACTTAACCGTGTTACTAATTTAACAACTGAAGTGATGCACTTAACAACTGTGCCAAGGAAAGTTGTAAAATGGGGCAAAACCCACTTAACAACTGTCTTGCTTAGCATCAGAAATTTAGGTCTCATTTATGATCATAAGTCAAGGACTACCTATATAGAAGAATGATAATTTTAGAAGCAATGAAGTTTACTTTTTCCTTTAGCTTATTGAGTAAATTCTGTTTTAATTTTCATGGAGGTGGAAAACAGAACAAAAGATTGGGCGTATATGTAGACATCTGTACATACTCTAAATTTGGAAATGTAATGCACAGTTCAGATATTTTTGTATTTGGTGCTAATATTGTGAAGCTGAACAGTTCTGGAAAATAGTTTACATCAGTCTAAAACAAATTTTAAAAGCTCAATTTCTTTATAACTTGCAATATTCTTAATGAATTTTACTAAACCATAACTTCCCACTTAGTATACTGAATTTTATTTGTACTTGTTAACTGCTACAAAGATATTTCTTACTAGACAGGATATTTGATTACCTTTGTGGAAAAAAGACTATGTTATATTTTAAAAGTAAATGCAATAGAACAGAGGTGTCAAACTCACATCATGGCAGAGTCACAATGTATCGGGATTTGTTTCCCCTTTGTTAAACCAGGTTTGGACATGGCCAGCGCGTGACACCGGGAATTTGACAGCCTTGCAATAAAGGATAATTCAACTGGGAAACAGTTTCTGGATTACAGAGTTTATGTGAATTTGTATCACATCCAAAAATTGTGTTTCTTTTTTACATGGCCATTATTTAAGCCTTGTAGGAATTTTTAAATCAGAATAGAGTGTTAATTTTATAGATGAAATATATTGTAATTTATTATAATTTATGATCTCTATTATTTTAACAATTTCTGGTATTTATGCTCCTTTGTAAAGCTTTATGGTGATATGTAGATTTTTAAGATTATATTATATAGTCAGTCATTTATATATAATCAACCATTTATACCTATTGTAATTCCAGTAATGAAATTAAAAACGTTTTCAGTGATACTTGTAAATCTATATCCATATGCCTCACTATCACTTTTTATCTCTCTCTTCTTTTTTAAAAAACTTTTTTTCTTTAAAATATTTAGTAAATGTATTTTTTTAATAGGCTACAATATAGTAATTCTTAATTTGGTATTACTCCTGTTAATCTAAAACTTTAATCAAAATTAGCTGTTCTGTGTATCTAAAAAGATTAGGCCACTTAGTTGGTTATTTTTATGAAATTTACAATGTAACTAGTTGTAAGGCTGCTCTTTAAATACAGGATTATATTATAAGCAGTCTGTAATATTCATTGCAATGTCTTTTTTTTTCTCTTTAGAATGGGGAACAATGCATCTGCTACTACAGCGATATCTAATACTGCTATAACAAACCAAATAAAAGTGAGTAAATGTGGTTGGTCTATATCAGGGGTGTCAAACTCATGTCACAGTGGTGTCACGTGACATATCGGGACTTTTTTCCCCTTTCCTAAACTGGGAATGGCCAACATGAGATACATCCGGCCCATGGGCCAGGAGTTTGACAGCCCTGGTCTAAATGCTGCTTCTTGTAGGACAGGGACTTTATTTTTTCTAAAGTATAAAATGTAATTCTGAGTCGTGTTTTGAAAGTCAAACACCTATTGTTATAGCTAAGAAGTTCCCCCAAAATTATTCCAGCTATTGGTTTTTTAGTTTTTCACTCTTTCCTGTTTCAAAATGACAGGAGATTGTACTGTCAGTTTTTTTGCCATTATAATTAACTCCCCCCACCCCAGGGCAGCTTAAAAGATTTGAGAGATACATATGGTCCTAAAACAGCCATCCATTCTACACCAATATCTTTTAACAGTACTGGAAGTGTGTCCTAGTAAAGTAATTCAGTCTAAATTGTTTGTTTTAATTTTTTATCAATAAGCCTTTTGACTCAAACTTCTGGCAAGTAGCAGAAATGCAATAGATTCTAACACTTTTAATTGGGAGATTTAGTAGTCCTGTTCAAATTAAATAATGAATCTGTTAATGAAAAGTGGAAAGCCTTGTTAGCAATACAATAGTACTTTGTCCATGCCCTCCCTTTTAAATGAAAACATGCTAGCTGATTCATTTGTTAGTTTTGGCTCAACTGGAACATTTTAATTATTTGAGGGCGTTTTGTGTGAGTAATATTGAAGGCTATAGATATGCATTTTAACACGCAAGTATGTAGAATGTATTTCCTTGAGAAGTTGCTTTTTCTCCATTATACAAACATATTTAGAGCCAGACATGTTTGTTGAATAAGGTACAATTATCTGGATTCACATAAAATCCCAAACACTGATGTTAATTTCGATTTCGATTGATTTTGAATCTAGCCATAAATTCTTCCAGTTTCCCTTATGCATACTTCGCATCATGTCAATTTTTATTTCAACCCATAGGATGCCATATCAGATAATTGTGTTGTGATCTTCTCAAAAAGCACTTGTTCCTACTGTAAAATGGCAAAGAAACTATTTCAAGAAATGAATGTGAATTATAAAGCCATAGAACTTGATCGATATGAAAACGGAAATCATTTTCAGGATATCCTTCATCAAATGACAGGCAGCCGGACAGTGAGTACTATATTTTTTAATCTTTCTTACATATGTCAGAAAATGATTATTCCATTTCTGGATAATATTTTTAAAGCAGTACATACTTTATTACATAAATTGGGCAAATACTAGATGATTTCAGATTTCAGAACAACTACCACCCTTAGTTTGGATGAGAGGACAAAGCCTGCATAGAGTATCCTGTGGGTTTCTAAGTTTTCTAATTCTGGACTACTCCATTTGTAAGAGAAATCAGCAAATACAACTGTAGTAGTTCAGAGTTAGCCCACAATTTTAGTGAATTTTACCTTACCATGTCATTCAAAATGGAGTGATGCGGTGGCCTAGAGATGGAGCTCTTGTCTCACAATCAGGAGGCTGAGTTTGATCTTAGGTAGAGGCAGATATTTCTCTCTCTGGGCACAATGAGAATATATCTGCTGAACAAAACTCTACTTTGGTGACAGGAAGGGCATCTGGCTATTAAACACTGCTAGCTCCATTCAGTTGCCCAGACTCCACCCTGGCAAGGGATTATGGGATCATTAAAAGATGATGTCATTCAAAGTGATTCATAATGTAATAGTTACTACTCAAATATAGATTTCTTTTAAAAAAATTCTATAATTCCTATTTCTTGCAATAGCTGTTGCCTTGAACAAATTGCTGGAATGTGACAATAAGAGAGAATATGGCTTTATGTTCTACTTCTAGCATTGAAGATACTGTATATGACTGGGCACTTTGCGAAATATATTTACTGAAGAGAGATTTTGTCTGATAGAGTAAAATTTGTTTTGGCCCTTTTTTACCATATATTAAAATCTGTGTTATATATTGGTTTCATTTAAACAGGATTTCATTATGAATCTGCTACATGAGTGCAGCATTTTGATGTTTTAGCAGAGTGGATTTTTCTTCACATAAGACTACAATCTCTAGCCTTGTAAAAACTAGTGAGGCATTGTTGTAAAATAGTCATTTTTAGAATGAATATTTATACTTTGCTTATATATATATATATATATATATCCTTGTTCAGCTTATTTGTTTCGATTATAGCTCTCAATCTGAACTTGACAATTTGAATTCTCTTTGTGAATTTAACCTTTCAATTTTAGACCATTGTTGAATATTATCTTTAAATAAAAATTAAAGTGCTAACTTGAAAAAAAAGTTATCTCTATTTAGTATTTCGCTTGAATTCCAAAGGGAATCTGAATAAAGAATCCAAAGAATGCTCACTGCTAGAGTTAGATTGGATTGTGTAAGATGCTGCCCTTGGATGTTAAAGAAAAGCCACTAACTTCTTGCAAGTCTCAAGGTTTTTTACAGTCTTATTCCTTCATTTTTTGAAAGAATATCTCCCTTGATTCCTTAATAATATAAGTAGAAGCAGTATTATTCTACTTAATAATATAAGTAGAAACACAGGTACTATAGTGTATTACACCCATGCTTGAACAATATGCTTATAAAATTCATTTCTTTATATTCAACAGGTTCCCAGAATATTTATCAATGGAAACTTTGTCGGAGGTGCTACAGATACGCAGCAACTTCACAGAGAGGGTAAACTCCTTCCATTAGTTCATCAGTGCCAGATCCAAAGAGAGAGAAACTCAGTACATTCATCTGGTTTTCCTTGATTTTTTAAATAAAATGTGACAATCTTTAATTTATAAACCAAGATTTCACTTTAGCAACCTATCTGTACAAAAATGCTTCAGTAACTTTGAATTGTCCCAAAATATATTGGCCATTAAATACATAGGTTGAAACAGTACAGGGGATGGTTCCTGGTAGAAAACCAAGCAGCTAGGCACACAAGTGCTACAATAAACCTTATCATATTAAATTAATTCTGGAAACTAAGTTTAAGAGCTATGCCAACTGCATGGAAACATATAGCAATACTTCCCAGGATGATTTTGGCATACCTATGAGCACCTCCACAGTAATCAGCTATATTGTTTGTGTGTGCCCCCTTTCTTTCAAGAAATTGGGCATTGGCAAGTTGTTATAGCAAACAGAAAAAGTGAAGAGAGACTTGGACAATACAAAATCAGCAGATGGAATGCTGGAAATAAGACACTGGGATGCAGATAAAGCAGTCATTGACTCAGTTATTTCTTTCTCTTCAACATATGTCCTCTTTATTTGCTTCCTCTCATCTTGGAGCTTGAACTTCTGGTTAGCTGCAGCAAATGAATCTTTATGCAGTTAAATACAAAGAAGGCATCTGCCTCTTTTTAAAGATTTATAGAAAGGGAATGCCAGCACATTGGCAAAAAGTAGCTCTGGAGAAAGCAGAGAATATAGATTGAATAAGCCATTTTGGATGAGATATATACTAGTTTTATATATGCCGAAGTTCTACTTTATTTGTATTTGTATTTCTACTTTAGTTCTACTTCGCTTGAACCTACATGTATACAACTGAAGTTTTCACTGTCAATTTACTAGTCTTTGTGCTTAGCAAGTACAATTCTGTAAAATCGGTGTTCATTCTCAGTAGACATCATCCCTGCCCTTTTCCCAGTTTAAATATGTCCAAGCTAATCTATCCTTGCCTGATTAATATTACAGTTTATTTTGACAGTGTGTCAGAATCACCCTTTAACAACAAATAACATGAAGGACTTTGGAATTAGGTATCTAATTCTAATTAGGTAAAAAGCACCTCATCAGCTATATGTAGCAGATGCTAGTAAATTATTTACAGATGGGTGAATGTTTTCAAAATTGTTCTTGTCCAAAGTGACAAGAATTTTTTGTAAATTTATGTCTAGATTGTTAAATGACACATCATTATCAAAGCTTCTTGAAAACATGACCTCTTTGTGGCTTGCAATTGGATTGATGTTTATGAAATAGTACTTTATGGGTATATGAACAAAAGGATTGTGACTTAAAAGTTTCTCTTTGTGTAATATATTTGCATTAAATAGTACCAAATATTAGAATTTTACATCCATGTGTTATGATTAACTGCATTATAAGCTGCATGCTTATGTTATAAAGAACCAGAGTGTGGTTTTTTGATTTCCACTTTTCAGTCAAATATTATATCCTAAAACATTTACAAATTTAAAAAACAATGATGGGATATAAGAGATAGTACTGTAATGGGCAAATTAACTGTTTTAATGAAAGAGAATACATCTAACTTTGTTTCTGTCTGGAAACCATGTCTGGATTTTGTGTTGAGATTAAAAAAATATTTTGGGATTTACTGATTAGACAAGGTTTTTTTAAATGGAAATAACTAGTATAAAGTATGAAAAGAAAAAGGTTGAGGCTGTAATGTTATGTTCATTCTACTGCACAGAAGAGTCAGAAGTTAATGTTTTTTCTTTTTTTGTCCCTTCATCCTGCATTCCCCTCTTTCCTACTATTTTCAGTTATATATTTCCTGTAAGCCAACTTGAGTCACCGTGAGTGAATAGGTAGCAATTTAAAATTTCCAAATAAATAAATGTCAAGCTGTGAATGGAGCAACAAATTATATGTTTCTTAGTGGTGAACCTGATTAACAGTTTTATTAATCTAAAAATATAAAGTTAAAGGGATTATAGCATGTTTTGCCTCCAAATTTCTCTTTCTCACAGATCACAAGTGATCAGATATAGACAGCTCAGACCGACCAACCCACCCACCCATCCACATACATACATACACACATACACACACACACTAATATACACTGCTCAAAAAAATAAAGGGAACATTTAAACAACACAATGTAACTCCAATTCAATCAAACCTGTGAAATCAAACTGTCCACTTAGGTAGCAACACTGATTGACAATCAATTTCACATGCTGTTGTGCAAATGGAATAGACAAAAAGTGGAAAGCACAGGCAGTTAGCAAGACATCCCCAATAAAGGAGTGGTTCTGCAGGTGGTGACCACAGACCACTTCTCAGTTCCTATGCATTCTGGCTGATGGTTTGGTCGCTTTTGAATGCTGGCGGTGCTTTCACTCTAGTGGTAGCATGAGGCGGAGTCTACAACCCACACAAGTGGCTCAGGTAGTGCAGCTCATCCAGGATGGCACATCAATGAGAGCTGTGGCTAGGTGTGCTGTGTCTGTCAGCGTAGTGTCCAGAGCATGGAGGTGCCACCAGGAGACAGGCCAGTACATCAGGAGACATGGAGATGGCCATAGGAGGGCAAAACCCAGCATCAGGACCACTACCTCTGCCTTTGTGCAAGGAGGGACAGGAGGAGCACTGCTAGAGCCCTGCAAAATGACCTCCAGTGGGCCACAAATGTGCATGTGGCTGCTCAAACGGTCAGAAACAGTCTCCATGAGGGTGGTATGAGGGCCCGACGTCCACAGGTGGGGGTTGTGCTTACAGCCCAACACCATGCAGGACATTTGGCATTTGCCAGAGAACACCAAGATTGGCAAATTCACCAGTGGCGCCCTGTGCTCTTCACAGATGAAAGCAGATTCACACTAAGCACATGTGACAGACGTGACAGGGTCTGGAGACGCCATGGAATGTTCTGCTGCCTGCAACATCCTCCAGCATGACCGGTTTGGCAGTGGGTCAGTAATGGTGTGGGGTGGCATTTCTTTAGGGGGCTGCACAGCCCTCCATGTGCTCGCCAGAGGTAGCCTAACTGCCATTAGGTACCGAGATCCTCAGATCACTTGTGAGACCATATGCTGGTGCGGTTGGCCCTGGGTTCCTCCTAATGCACGACAATGCTAGACCTCATGTGGCTGGAGTGTGTCAG